GGGACCCCCCAGGGTTCTCGACCTGCTGACCAGCGGCTCCCTCATCCTGGCGCAGGCGGGCGACGATCAGATGGGCAGGCCGCGGATTGGAGAGTGGAAAGAGGAGGGGCAGGTTCTGTCCTGGGCGATCTCTCCAGAACATTCGAAACGGATCCAGCCACAGCGAACGCATGATAGCACAGCCCGATGCAGGAGGGAGAAGCCTCAAAGGGCTTTATATATCGAAACGCTTTCGTCGTCGTCATCGTCGGCGTCGTCGTATATATATATATATATATATATGTACCCTGACACTGGCACGTAGTGGAAACGTTCCCAAGCGGATATATACCTGACGCAGCAGCGGTAAGTGGGAAACGTTCCCAAGCGGATATATACCTGACGCAGCAGCGGTAAGTGGGAAACGTTCCCAAGACGCCCAAGACGCCCAAGACGCCCAACCAGCGCCCATCACGACCCACCCCTCACACAGATCGTCGGCAATGCAGGAACCCCAAACACAGCTCGCACTTTCGAAACGCCTAACGGCCATCACTTCGTCATGAAGCGCACTGGCGCGGCCGGGGCGCGAACTGCAATGGGCCCACAAGTCCACGAGACGACAGAATGCCGGACGCAGGGTCCCAAGTTTCCAGCTCCGCTCGTGCAACCGTTCGAAAGCCTCTGGCCCCCCACCACAGGGGCCCCGAGGGAGAGGGAGAAGAGTTGGCATGAGATAGCACAGGCAGGACTTGGCAGCCTGCTCGGCATCGCAGACGTCCTCCATCTCGCCGAAGAGCTCCTCGAACTTGATGTCGCCCACCTCGCGGGGGGAGGAGGGGGGTGCAATAAACGAAATACCAAACGAAATATATACCAACATCCGCTCCCCATTGCCTCCTCCCTCCTCCCCCCCCCTCCCCCCTCAACCCTCGCCGGGGGAGGAGGGGGGGGGGCGGGCGGATAGCACGGGCAGCAACGACGTTCGGAAACGCCGAGGCCACCTCGTCGCCAGCCAGCTGATTCCCAGAGTCTCCATCCGGCGTCGCTGCTTCCAGCCACGAATCGTCCGCTGACTCATGTCCCGAGTCGGGCCGGCCCCTCTTGGGCCCAGCCGCTTCTGGCTGCTCCTGCGCAAGGGCCTCCTCGGCGCTGCCAGAGGGCGCCGCGGGCTGGGGCCCCAGGGGAGGCTCGCCTGCGGGCGCCTCCGCATCTGCCTGCTCCTGCGGGGCCTCCTCGGCGTCGCCAGGGGGCGCGAGCTGGGGCGCCGCGGGCTCGGGCCCCAGGGGTGGCTCGCCTGCGGGCGCGGGCTGGGCGGCATCTGCCTGCTCCTGCGGGGCCTCCTCGGCGTGGCCAGGGAGCCCGAGCTGGGGCGCCGAAGGGGGCTCGCCTGCGAGCGCGGGGGGCGCCTGGGGCAGCGGCAGGGCCGCTTCTGGCTGCTCCTTCGGGGTCTCCTCGGCGGGCCCCCTCGGGGCCTCCTCGTCCACGCCCAGCTCCGGAATGTGCGTGTCCCATGCGCCGAGGACTCTGTGGGGAGCCTTCGGCCACAGGAGGTCGTAGTGTTCCGTCAGGTGCTCGTCGTCATCGTCGCCATTGTTCGGCACCAGGCGCAACAGCATGTGCACAGTTGTTTCCCCCTCCTCGTTGAAGCAATCGACCCACGTGTGGTCGGGCGACATGGTCTCCCCCGCGTTGTGGATGAACAAGCGGATGCCAAGCGCCGAGTTCGGAGTGGGGGGGGAAGAGGAGGAGGAGAAGGAGGAAAGCTACAAGGTGGGGCACAACACGAGACCCCAGGAGGCTAAAAATGTCGAGACCACCCCCTCAGAGCACAGCCTGGGCACAGTGGAGAGCGACGAGGAAAGGGATGGGGGGAGGAGGAGGAGGAGGACAGTTAGCACAGCCTGCATTGCAGGGGCCAGCCTACAGGTCCCTGGCCTGGTTATAGGATATGTCGCTATGACTATACCCGAGAGGAGGAGGAGGAGGAGGAGGAGGAGGCGGAGGAGGAGGAGGAGGAGGAGGAGGAGGGGGAGGAGGAGGAGGAGGACCCCCCGCGAAACCCTTCCTGCAGGAGCAGCAGAGGCTCAAGAGGCTGCCGAGGGGCCCGAGTTTCTCCATGTAAGCGTCGCCGATGCATCACTGGCGTCGCATTTGCATCGCTGATGCATCGGCGATTCGGCGCGATCCACAGACCCCAATTACTTCGACCCCGTTTGGGCGGCCTCCACAAGAGGCTGAGGAGGACAGGTGGGGCGAGGGGAAAGGGGCAGTTAGCACAGCCTGTGGATGGGGCGACGAGGAAGCAGAGGGGGTGCGAGGTGATGCCATCACCTTCGCAGCCATCTCGTGCATGTCCTCCGGCGGCGGGGCCCCCTTCTCCACCTTGTCCGCCAGGTCGTGCAATCCGCGGGCGCGGAGCTGGATCAAGAAGATCTGAGCAGCCTGCGACGCGGCAGAGGCTCGTCGTCGTCGCTGTCCTCGTCCTCATCCTCCTCGTCGTCGCTGGAGCGCTGCTCCAGCTGTCGTGCCTCTGACTCTACAACAGAGGCACATGCTTGTCGTCGTCGTCGTCGACGCAGCGTACTTAGCACAGCCTGGTGTGGACATTCCTCATGCTCCTCCCCTCCCCCTCCACTCCACCTCCTCGTCATCGTCGTCGTCGCAGAGGCTGTGGGTCAGAGTGAGGGGGCCGAGCGGTCATTCATTGTCCCTGGGTGCGTGGCTGAAGTGGGATTCCGCGATGCGGATTCTCGTTGTTGTTGCCGCCCCCTCACGTTTATCCGCAATTGCGGGGTGCTATATATATATATATATATATATATATATATTAATGTATTTGTCGTCCTCGTCGTTGTCGCCCTTTTCCTCCTCGCCCAAGAGCCTCACGCGCGCGCGCGGCTTCCAGCTCTCGCCTCTGCTTGCTCACCGCGTAGCCCGAGCTGGTCCGGATCTGGGCCTCGCGAGGCTCTGGGCGCCAAAAGTGCAACGGGTTGGTCGTCGTCGTCGTCGTCGTCGTCGTCGTCGTCGTCGTCGTCGTCTTGCCCCCTCCCCACACTGTGAGCCTTCTGCTCCCTCACAGCGTAGGCGCCCCCGCGGCTGACAGCGGCTGTGCCCCAGAAGCAGCGCCCATCGCGGGCCACCTCCACGCGGTCGAAATCGGAGAGACTTAATTTCGTGCGCATGGGGCCGACGAATCCTTGAAACTGACGGCGCCTCGAAGCCAAACGCTGCACTGACTCCCCCCTCTCTCCTTCCGTCCCTGGGTGTGCTATCGACTCTCTGCGCGTCCCCCAGGGGTCGCCTCTCTGGCCTTCGCGGGGGCATCTGTCGCTGCGGCTGGACGCGGCTCGTAAAACTGGTGTCCTCGGTGTCGTCGGCCCCTCGAAGTAAGGAGGGAGTAGATAGCACGCCCTGGGAAGGGGGAGGCGAGGGAGGGAGGGAAGGAGGGAGTAGATAGCACGCCCTGGGAAGGAGGAAGCGAGAGAGAGAGAGAGAGAGAAAGAAAAAGAGAGAGTCAGAAGGTCGGCCCCCCCCTCGCACGCGCATGCATCACGCGAACGCCAGGCCGCCGAGCGACCACCAAGGCCGAGTCCAGCCAGGGCGACGAGGAGCCCACCAGGGCGAAAACGAGACCCTATATATATATATATATATATATATATATATATATATAAACCAGACGGCACGGGCCTCCATCGTGGTCGTCGTCGTCGAGGTTCGAGGAGGCTTTTCGGCGTTTTCGGCCTCTGGAGGCCGTGTTCGGGGCCCTGGACCTTCGAAAATCGATCCAGCCGGGGTGGAAAACTGCGTCGGGTGGACTCCAGGAGGGGTCCAGGGGACGATTTTGAATGCGGATTTCGTCGATTTCTGGGCTCGGGTCGGACGAAAGGGGGGATTGGGGAGCGGTGAGACAGCAGCGGCCCAACTACGCCCAATATCGACCCTAGGACCCCTCGTGGGGTCCGATCGCACCAGTTTTACGAGCCGCGCCCACGACGACGACGACGACAGCGGCGACGACGAGGACGACGACGACGACGACGACGAGGACGACGACGACGACGACGACTTCCCAGGGCGTGCTATCTACTCTCTCCTTACTTCGAGGGGCCGACGACACCGAGGACACCAGTTTTACGAGCCGCGTCCAGCCGCAGCGACAAGATGCCCCCGCAAAGGCCAGAGAGGCGACCCCTGGGGGACGCGCAGAGAGTCGATAGCACACCCAGGAGGAGGAGGAGGAGGAGGAGGCGCACTGCAGCGAGAAGCAAGCGAGAGGCGCACTCCAGGGTCAGCGCGCAAGGGGCGCCACGGCGCCGCCCGGCACCGCCTCAGACGGAGGTGCTGGCGCAGGTGCTGGCGTAGGCGTTGTTGCCGGCGTAGGCGTTGGTGCCGGTGCTGGCTGCGTAGGTGCTGGCGTAGGCGCAGGCGTTGGTGCCAGTCACGTCGGTGCTGGCGTCGGTGCGGGCGCAAGCGCCTGGTGTTGCCGGCGGTGCCGCTGGCGTCGCTGGCGTAGGTGCCGACGTCGGTGCTGGCGTCGGCGTCGGTGCTGGAAGCGCCAGCAGCTCGGCCGTCACCGAGCCCCGCGGCGCAGGCGGCGGCCGCCGGCGCTCCGCCGCGGGCGCCGACCCCGCCGCCGCCTCGCTCGCCGCGCCGCCGCAGGCCGGCAGCTCGGCCGTCACCGAGCCCCGCGGCGCAGGCGGCGGCCGCCGGCGCTCCGCCGCGGGCGCCGCCCCCGCCGCCGCCGCGCTCGCCGCGCCGCCGCCGTGCCTAGGACCCGTGCGGCACCACCACCACTGACGCGGTGGCGGAGGGATCGGGGTGGCGTGGTCCCCCCTCCCAGTCATCGGGGACCTCATCATCATCCAGAGTCGGCGTCCTCGGCATCGACGTCGTCGTCGTCTCGGTCGCCCCCCCTGGTGGTGGTGGTGCCGTCGTCCTCGTCGTCGACCTCGTCCCCTCGCCGTCGTCGTCTCGGTCGCCCCCCCTGGTGGTGGTGGTGCCGCTTCTCCTCCCGCTCACCCGAGCGCTGGGCTCGCCGATGGCCGCGGCGGCGGCAGCGCGGGCAGCGCTGGGCGCGGCGGCGGCAGCGCGGGCAGGGCGCGGATCGGCCTCGGGAGCGGCCTCTTCGGGCGCGCCGGCTGCGGCACCGCCGCGGCGGCGGCGGCGGCGCCGGGCGCGGGCGGCGGCGCCGCCTCGGGCGTCTTCGGCGCCTCGGCGAGGCACGCCGCCTCCGGCGTCGTCGGCGCGGGGAGCGGCGGCGGCTGCACCCCGTAGGCCAGGAACGCCGCCTCGGGCGTCGACGGCGGCGTCGCGTACCACACGGAGGGCGAAGGCGGCGTCCTGGGCGAGGACTCCTCGGTCGGCGGCCCTCCCTGCGCCGCCTCGGCCACTGGCGCTGGCGGCGCTGGCGCCGCTGGCGCCAGCGCTGGCGTCGGGGCTGGCGTCGCTGGCGTCGGCGCTGGCGCCGCCGGCGGGCGATCGATGTCTCCCAGCGCGATGACCGCTGGGGTCATGTCCGCTGGGCGAGCCCAGACGCTGTCGCCCGCGCCAGGTGGCGGGCGCAGCCCACAGACCGCAGCCCATGCGTCCGACGCCGCTGGCGGCTCCACGTGGACAGGGGCGGCGCTGGCGCTGGCGCCGGCGTCGGCACAGACCATGGCAAACGTCCTGATCCTTTCGCCCGACGCCGCCGGCGGCTCCACGTGGACGGGGGCGGCGCTGGCGCTGGCGCCGGCGTCGGCGCTGGCGGCGCTGGGCAGCGCCAGCCGCCCCCTCCCGCCGCCCGCGTGGGCAGCGCCGGCACCGCGGCGCCCGCCGCGGCCACCTCGGCCACCGCTGCGCCCGCCGCGGCGCCCGCCGCCGCGGCCTCTGGGAGGCGGCGGCCTCTGGGCGACGATGACGTCGTCGTCGTCGCTGGAGCTCAGCTCGACGACGCGCTTGCCCATGCCCTTCTGGGGCACCGGCGGCGCGGCGGGTGGCGGGCCCTCCGCTTCGGCCCCCTCCTCGGCCTCCTCGGCGGAAGAAGCGGAAGAGGCTGGAGCCCACCGACGACGACGACAGCGGCGACGACGACGACGACGACGACGGCGACGACGGCGACGACGATAGCACAGCCCGCGCAGGGGGATTCACTACCATGTCCTGACCTGGCCAGGAGCTCCTGGCTAGGTCAGGACGACGACGACGACGACGACGACGACGACGACGACGACGATAGCACAGCCCGCGCAGGGGGAGGGGGAGCCCAACGACGGCGACGACGACGACGCGATGACGCGATGATGATGATCAGGACGAGGATCAGGGGGGGGAGGAGGAGGAGGACTGGGGAGTCCGAGGAGAGGAGGAGCTGAGAAGTCTGAGGAGGAAGAGGGTGGACTCCAGGAGGGGTCCAGGGGCCGATTTTGAATGCGGATTTCGTCGATTTCTAGGCTGGGGTCGGACGAAAGGGGGGATTGGGGAGCGGTGAGACAGCAGCGGCCCAACTACGCTCAATATCGACCCTAGGACCCCTCGTCCGCGTCCGGCCGCGACGACGAGTTTTACGAGCCGCGTCTTTCTACGCTGTACTCTTATGCGCCCGTCTCTGTGTTTCGCGCATTCCCCGTAGGGCGGAGAGAGCAGCGTTCTCAAGGTAACCTTTTATCGTTTCTCTTCGCCGTTTTCTTATGCGCCGTTTTGCGTTTCGCGCATTTCCCCTTATTACTTACGACGACGATAGCACAGACAGTGACGACGCGGCGGCGACGACGGCGGCGACGACGACGACGACGACTACGACGACGACGACGACGAAGATAGCACAGCCCGTGCAGGGGGAGGGGGAGCCCAACGACGACGACGACGACAGCGACGTCCTCGTCGTCGTCGTCCTCGTCGTCGACGTCGAGCGCCACGCCGCCGGGGGGCGCGGCGCGCAGCACGCCCTGGCGCCACATCGCGGCGGCGCGCGACGAGCGACGATTCGGGCTCGGGTCCGAGGTCGGAAGTTGTCAGATGTGGCAGTGGTTCAAGGGGCCCCCGACCCCCGACCCCCGACCCCTGCTGGTCGAAGGTCGGGGTCGGAGGCCACCTTGAGCCAGCGCCACCCCTTGCAACGCCCGACCTGGCACATCCGAGCCCGAGGGGGGCGTCGGACAGCCCGCGGCCCGCGGGCCGCGGACGGGGGCCCGGCGCCTGGGCCCGGCGCCCGACGGGGGCCGGGGCGTCGGAGCCCGACGGCGACGGCGGCGGGGGCGGCGGCGGCGGCGGCGACGACGACGACGACGCCCATAGGGGTCCCAGCCTTCCCTCCCTCCTCCCTCCCTCCCTCGCCTCCTCCTTCCCAGGGCGTGCTATCTACTCCCTCCTCCCCTCCCTCGCCTCCTCCTTCCCAGGGCGTGCTATCTACTCCCTCCTCCCCTCCCTCCCTCGCCTCCTCCTTCCCAGGGCGTGCTATCTACTCCCTCCTGAGGCGCCGGGTGTCACCCGACGCGAATGCCGACGCGTAAAATATCGTATCAAACGCCCTCTCCACTGCAAGTGCATGCCAAAAATAAAAAAAAAAAAAAAAAAAACTCGATGTATTATTGATTTTCTGAAACTGCACGCGCAATTGGCTCGTGAAATTTCGGGTTGTAATTTCGAAAAGCGGCCTGTTATCGACGTTTTGGCCCAGAAAAAGTTTCCCCGGGGAGATGGGTGGCGCATTCTCAGAGATAGCACAGGCTGGATCGATATTGTGCTAACTTTTCGTTGCTGACTATATGGACTCGAAACTTCAACGCGCGTAGCGCTGCACGCATCCACCGCGGCTTGTTTTCAGCATGGCGCTTCCGCTCGAGTCTTCCTCGGAGTTCATGACCACAGGGGCAAGCTTGTGCAACACGGATGGGAGGGGCAGTCCGTCTTCGAAAGGGAGACATCGCTGTACATCTCGCTGCACTGCGTGATCATGCTTTGTTTCAACCATCGTGTGGTGTTGGGTCCTCGGTTTGAAGGGACAACGCCCCGCATCGCCTTTCCTTCCTCTCCATCCCTGCCTGCTGCCTCTGCAGCCCACATGTCCCCGTATCATCAGCATGATCGGCATGACACTCCCCATCAACATCCTCATACTCATAATCAACATCATCATCAACATCCTGACCGTAATCACCGCAATTATGATCATCATCATCATCATCATAATTAACATCATCATCATCAGCATCATGACCAGCAGCATCATCATCATCATCGTCATCGTCATCGTCACCATCAGCATCAACATCATCACAATCATCATCATCAGCATCATCGCCATCGCCATCACCAACATCACCATTGCTATCACCATCGCCATCACCATCCGCATCGTCAGCATCCCCATCATCATCATCATCATCATTATCATCATCATCATCATCATCATCATCATCATCAGCATAAACATCAACACCATGATCATCATCCTCATCACAACTATCATCATCGTCATCACCATTACCAGCATCGACATCATCATCATCAGTATCAGCAGCAGCCTCACCATCAACATCATAAGTATCGCCACCAACAGCATAATCATCAACAACACGATCAATATCAACATTCACATCAACCTTAACAACAGCATCATCAGCAGCATCACCATCAGCATCATCATCATTATCATCATCAGCAGCATCATCAGCATCATCATCATCATCAGCAGCATCAGCACCATCACCATCACCATCACCATCACCATCATCATCATCATCATCATCATCATCATCATCATCAGCATCATCATCCCAGCCTTCCTGTGTTAGACCCCTCACACGCTCGTAGCGCCCGCATGGTACCGCCGCACACGTCTCGGTACACCCCTCGCATGTTTCGTGGCCACATAGGGAGCTCCACCAGTAGCCCCAATGGCGGCGCCCGCATGGCAACGCCGCACCCCTTTCGGCACACCCCTCACTCGTGTCATGGGCACAAAGGGACAAGGCCCCAGTGGCAGCGCCCGCATTGCACCGCCGCACCCGTTTCGGCATACCCCTCACAGTCTTCGTGGCTCCATAGGACGACACACCCACGGCACTTGTGGCAACGCCCGCATGGCACCGCCGCACCCGTTTCGGCACACCCGTCACACGTTTCGTGGCCCCATAAGTAGCTCCACCGAAATTCCGAGTGGCAGCGCCCGCATTCTATAGGGATCTCCACCGAAAGGCCCAATATGCCATCCGCTTGCCTCATCCGATAATCGTCCCTCCTCCTCCCCTCCTCCCCGCTCCAACTCATTCCGGCCTTCCACGCCCCCCCGGTCTCCTCCTTCTCCTCTTTCTCCGTCCCCCCATCTTTCCGCTTCCTTCTGCACAGCTCCTCCCGGTCGCACCCCACCCTGATGCTCAAAGAGTGGCAGCCGCTCCACGGATGGAGGGCGGGTGGTCTCCAACATGAGGCTCTCGCCTTAGCGCCGCGCACGCTCGCTTGAGACAATTGGAAGAGCTTCACGGACTGAGGGCGGGCCGATTTCAATATGCGGCTCTCGCGGCTCTCGCCTCATCGCCGCGCACATTCGCTTGAAAACATGGCAGGGGTCTCACGGGTTCTCCTGGTGAACGTACCAGGAGCGGCGTTTCGGAACGACTCAGGACTGCCAGTGCGCAGCAGTTGTAAGTTACGTTGATTAGCGGCGATGTGGCGCAATTCTGGATCGCCAAGACGGAAGAGGCAGATTTACTCGTGGCGTTGAAGTCCTGAGGAACGCTTCAACATGTTCACACGGTTGTCTCCGAACGGGGCAATTCCCCCAGCGGAAATGACCCTAGGGGCCTATGAACAGGGATCTTCGAGGAAGGGTGTATATCAACATCGTTGATGAGTCTTGGGTTTACACTGGTCCTCCTTCTCCTCTTCAACCCCTGTCCGCGATGGATAACTTAGACATCATCACCATATTTGAACCCTGGAGCTGGAAATTTGGAACAATTACACAGATGGAGGGGGGTCATTTGCATATCGGTCTCTCGCAGTAGCGCCGCGCACACTTGTCTTAAAACTGTGTGCACCAGTTACACGGATGGATCGGGGGTCGTTTTCAACAAGGGGCTATCATCTTTGCGTCGCGCACATTCGTCGCACACATTCCTCTTCATTGAAACAGCTACAAGGATGGAGGAAGGGTCGCTTTTCGTCAAAGTCTCGCACTCGCCTTGGCGCCGTGCACGTCCGTCTGGAGAGCTTGCAACAAATCATGGGTAGAAGGTGGTTTTCAAAATGGGGCTAACGCAGCAGTGCTGCCAACTTTCGTCTGGAAAGCGTGCAGCAACCACAATGATAGGGGGGGCCTTTTCAAGATGGGGCTCTCGCCGTAGCGCCGCACCGACTAGCTTTACAAGTTAGCAACCGTTACACCGATGGGGGGCGGCACCAAAGGCATATTGTCAGCCTGGCCCCTGCCTACTGATTGTGAAGGCCACGACGGAAAACACAATATTTCAAACAGATCGCGAGGATGATGAGGACGGAGGGGGGGAGGACAAGGGCTCCTACCCCGCGCAGATGAACCAGCCCGCAGCGGCAGCCACAGGACTGGACTTGAGGTACGGCAGGACCTGGGACAGAAGAACATCCATCAAGAACAGGAGACCCTCCGCCGGCCAAGCCGAAGAGCACCCGACAAACACGAAGAACATTGGGGTGCCCTCCCCGAACCGACCTCGATCTTGTACCTCCGGTTCGACCGTGCTTCGGGGCGCGTTAACCCCGTTCGTGGGCCCGGCTTCCTTGTGTCATCACCCTGGAGGGCACGCTGGCCCGACGGAACAGAGGGGCCAAGCAGCATAATGGTTTGACGCTGGCGGTGTCTGGCCACTGGTTTCGAGCAGGAGATCGACTACATAACTGATTTACCCTCAAGAATTCTCGCCGAATCGACGACCATTGTGTAGAATGTTCGTAGATCTACAGGCATTCGGTCTACTGTTCTCGTAGACCCGACAAGGAGATCAAGTGCGGGGAAAATCAATTATGTTGTCGATCTCCTACGCGATGGTTGGATTGCTGGACTCAGGTGGCACATCTTGCCCATACATGCGGCCTGGCGGCTGGCGGTTCCTGGCCGTCAATCCCACAGCAGGCAAGGAGGATCCGAGAACTCTGGCCGCGGGAGATGGGGCACCGAGCCCCGCCCGCGACCAGGGAGTCCTTGCCTCCGCCCACTGGGGGCCCTCCAGAGGCCCTCCGAAGGTCCCCGAGCATGCATCTCTAAAGGCCTCCTGGGGCCAACCAAAATAAAGCACGAACGAGCGAACACACGAGCGATCAAACGAACGAACGAAGCAAGACGAGCACACAACGAGCGAACGAACGGACGGACGAAACGAGGCGAACACACTTTTTGTGTCGGCGGCTGGGCAGCACCGGCGGAATGGCAACAGGTGACACGCTGTATGCAAATTAAGGCCGCAATGCACGGAGGAGTAAGAGGAGCCCCGGCGCGACAGGGGGAGAGGAAGCCAGGCCACTCAAAGCTGCCGACTGTGGCGGGGGGAGCGCCGAGGTGGGAAACCAGCGCCGGCACTGAGCTGAAACTGGGCTGCACTGAGCTGAAACTGGGGGGAGGCAGCACTGAGCTGCAAAAGGTGATGGAGAAACACAACGTAGCGAATCCCGACCCGGACCAAGGCACGGTCCAAGGATGGGCCGAGCACCGAGACCTGCGGGCCTGCGAGGCGCGTGCAGGGAGAGGTGCAGGCAGGGGAGCGCCGGGGGGGGGCAGCCAGCGCGCTGAGCTGCACTGAGCTGCACTGAGAGCGAGGCGAACCACACACACACACACGAAAGGACGAAAGAACGAATGAACGAACGGACGAACGAGCGCTGAGTACGGGCCGCGCAGGCGCGGCTGCGTGCCCCTACAGGCTCGGCGGAAAGTGGTCAGGCCATCTCGTCAAAGGAAATCCGTGGGCTCTGCGACCGTCTGGGATCCGGTCGTGGACTCGCCGGGCAGGCGCACACGAAAGAGCGCGTAAGTAGACCGTCGAGGAGGCACCCACGAAAGCCTCTCCACCGAGATCTCTCCCTCCTTCCTCACCTCCCTCCCCCTCTCCACGAGGAGCAAGGCGTCGCTCAGAAGCTCTCCTGAGGGGGAAAGTTGGGGGGGGGGCCACCGGCACATAGGGGGAACATCAGCTTGGAGTCGGCGATGCATCGACGACAGCTATGGGTGAATCGGCGACGAGCGGGCGCTTGGAGGCCGATGCATCCACTCCTGAGCGCGTCCTCCCCCCGAATGCTGCCCCCGAACCTCGTCCCTTGGGCGGGGGAGGGGCCTCGACCCCAGCGCCCGCGTCCCTCTCCAGCGGCCCCTGTATCGGCGACGACTGGGCGAGTGGGGGTCGATGCGTCCCTGACACTGCGATTTTGGCTTTCGGGCCATAACTCGGCTCTCCGGCGACAATCCAAGCAGCCCCAAAAACGCTCTCGGCGAGGCGCAGCTGCTGGAGAGCACCCCGAGGCTTGAAAGCCGCTGGGAACAGAGGAACACGCCCGAGAACCTCGAACCTCCAACCCGAAACATCCAACCTCTGACCAGGCGGGGGAAGGGCCTCGAGCCCAGCGCCCGCGTCCCTCTCCAGCGACAGGGGGCGCAGCTTCAGCTCCTGCCGCCAGTCCGGGACGGCCAACGCCGCGGCGCCAGGCAGCACTGGGGAGACCTCCCACGCCTCGGGGGCCAGGGGGGGCGGGGCATCCTCCGTGGATCTCCTCCTCTCGTGAAGGGGAGGGGCGGAGAATGAGGAGGGAGGTCGAATGTGATATCGCATGGCTTAATTGCACCCCCACCAATACGCACAGACTCCAACACGTCATCCACGCCAACAACAGCACCAACACCACACGACGAGACCCCACCCATCCAAGCCCCGAAGCACGAACTACCACATCAAATCAACAACGAAGTATGAATATGCCCCGCGATGCGCGCCAGGAGTGCAACCAGGCCAGGCGCCAATCAAGGTGCCGAGGGAGACACAATATCTATACATAGATATGTGTATACACACAGGGTATATACATATGCACACAAACACCACCAGCCCTCTGGGCGCAGGTGGTTCAGGGTGTATTATCTTCCATCTTCTCCTCTTCACCTTCGGGGAGAGGATTACCCCTCCCCCTACCCCGACACCCTGGACCTGGACGGGGCGCCCCGCGACCGATTCGAGCGTCCAACATGGCCCAAGATGGCTCCAAGAGGGCCTCGGAGAGCCCAAGATGGCCTCCAAGAAGGTAGCTCAAGATGGCTCAAGATAGCCTCCTACGTGATCCAAGAGGCTCCAAGACCGCCCAAGACGGCTCCAAGTGGCCTCGGAGCACCTGCAAGAGAGCACCCAAGAGGCCAACATCGCTGCCAGACCCAAGCCAACCCTACTATGTGTGTTGCCTTCTCGCCGTTTCGTTTCTGATTGCTTTCCGAGGCGTCAAGGTGGATCCAAAATGGCCCAAGAGGGCGCCAAGAGAGCCCCAAGAGGGTCCCAATACGGCCCCAAGAGTGCCCAAGAGTGTGCCAAGAGCGCTATAAGAGGCACCCAAGAGGCCCCCAAGAGGCGATTTTAGAGGCTCTGGAGTTCAGAACCCCCTTATTGAATCGATGTCCTACAAGATGGCCCCAAGAGGGCCTCCAGGGCTTCCAAGAGAAGGCTCCCAAGAGGCCCAAGAGGTGCCTAAACGGCCCCAAGAAGCCTCAAGGGGCACCCCTCAACGGCACCCAAGAGGCCCCAATGGGTCCCCAAGACCGCCAAGAGGCATACAAGGCGGCCTAAGAGGCCTCGAAGGAAGCCCCCGGGCATCCAAGAGGCCCATAGCCTTCTGCTCGCCCTCATCCTCCCCCTCCTCCTCCTCCTCCTTCTCCTCCCGCCTCTCGTCTGCCTTTTCCGTCTCCTTCTGTATCCTCCTCCTCCTCCTCCTCCTCTTCTTATGTGTCGTATTCCTCCTCCTCCTCCTCCTGCTGCTGGTCGTCCTTCTCCTTGCTCTCCTCCATCCTCCTCAGGCAGCTGCGCGCCGTCTAAGAAGTCGTGAAAATACAGGCCAAGCGCAGGCAGCACAAGGACTCGTGGGATCTGCGAAGCTTCAACAATTTCCGAATTCTCACATGCCTTGAAATTCGCCGGCCCAACGGGCCAGAGGCGTGCTAAGATCTCCAGTAACTGGTTAACAATTCTCTAGTTCGCGCGCGCGGGGCGGCCCCTGGGGGTCCCCGGACGAAAAGTACCCCGGGCGGGTCCCGGCTGATCCCCGGGCGACTCCACCAGAGCGCTCCATGAGCGCACCAACAGGGCTCCGAGACGTCCCCGAGAGCCCACGAAAAAAAAAAGAAAAACAAAAAGAAAAAAACCAAAAAAAAAAAAAAAAAAAAAAAAATAAAAAAGAAACAAAAAAAAAACGAAAAAAAAAAAAGAAAAAAAAAAAAAACCAAAAAAAGAAAAAAAAAAAAAAAAAAAAAGGCCAAGAGGCCCCCAAGAGGCCCCCAAGATGGTACACGAGGGGTCCGACATGCCACAAGATCGCTCCAAGACGCCCAAGATAGCCCCCCGACGCCCCAAGAGGCCTCCAAGAGCACTCCCAAGAGGGCCCCCGGAGGCAAAATTCATTGTTTTTCCTTAGGTTTTTGAGAGATTTTGGAGCTTCCACCTTTTCGGCTTCCCGACGCCCCAAGACGGCCCAAGAGGCCCCCAAGCTCGCCCCAAGAGGGCCCAAGAGGCCCCCAAGAGGGCCCCAAGATGGCCCAAGAGGGCTCGAAGACGGCCCAAGAAGCCTCCAAGACGGTCCAAAAGGGCTCCAAGAACGCCCCCAAAGGGGCCCCAGAGAGGGAACACGAAACAACATTTCGAGCCCTCGGCCCTAAGAAGCCCCCACGAGGCCCCTAAGAGGCCCTAACCCTCAGAAGGCCCCCAAGAGTCCCCCAAGCGGCCCCAGGAAGCCCCCCAAATGCCCCCCCGAGCACGCAAGCAAGTGCAAGCGATGCTACAATGTGCTCTCCTTTCGGTAGACTCCCAACGGGGCCCCTACAGACTTGCAACAAGCGTCAAGAACCTGCCCAAAAAGTACTGTCCAGGAGCGTTCACAAGTGCCGCGAAGAAGCCCTCCTTACGCCGGAAAGCCCGTACAACAAAGAAAAAAAAAAGAAAACACAAAAAAAAAAAACCAAAGAAAAAACAAAAAAAAAAAACAAAAAAAAGAAAAAAAAAAAAAAAAAAAAAAACAAAAAAAAAAAAAAAAAAAAAAAGAAAAAAAAAAGCCAGGTGGGGTGAGCTGTTCTTCTCACCACCGCGCCCTCTCACACAATGGCTTCCGCACGCCGCCCAGAGCGCGACGTTCGGCTCATGCCCCCAGAACGCTCCAGGAGCGCGCCAAAACGGCACCGGAACGCCCCCGAAACAATCCAAGCGGCCTCAAGTCGCCGAACAAACGTTCCAAATCGCCCAAGATGACCTCAAAATTGCCGTCGAGGCCGCCAAGAAGCCCCAAGAGAGCCTCAAGAGGCCCTCCAAGACGGCCATTACAATCAAAAATCGTCCCATTCCCAGAGGAGCATGTACACTTCCCGCATGAACGGCGTTTCGAGTTTCACAGCGCCTCAGACTACGCAAATAGCCCCCAACGTCGCCCCGAGACAGCCCAACAATCCGCTAAAATCGGCCCAAGACGGCCCAAGATAACCCCAAGACGGCACAAGAGAGTACCAAGACCGCCCAAGAGGCGCCCAAAGGGGGATTCTGCCCCTAGGAGCACCTCAGAAGCCACCAACATCCCGCCAATAAGTCCCCCAAGACGCCCCAAGAACCACCCAAGAAGCCCATTCAGAAGCCCCAACGACCCCCAAACGGCCCTTACGGGGCCTCAAGAGGCTTAACACTGCCTCCAAGAGGTTCCCGAGACGCCTGGCAAAAGAACCCCCAAAGCGCCGCATTGACACCAGGCCCTCGGGCAAACGGCAGACATGAGACTGTATGGGCCGGCGGAATGAGCGAAGCGATCAAATAATGTCTGGAAGTTCGTATTCCGCTCGATCTGCAATGTGTTCCAGTAATCCCACTAGCCCTCTTGGCGTGAGTGGCTTAGCGCGTGTCCTCTTCTATGTTCCCTTCCTCCCCCTTCGGGGAGGGGTTTACCCCTCCCCCTACTCCCTCCCCCCGGACCTGGACGGGGCGCCCCGCGACCGATTCGAGCGTCCAACATGGCCCAAGATGGCTCCAAGAGGGCCTCAGGACGCCCAAGATGGCCACCAAGAAGGCTCAAGATAGCCTCCTACGTGATCCAAGAGGCTCCAAGACCGCCCCAGCACGGCTCCAAGTGGCCTCGGAGCACCCCCAAGAGAGCACCCAAGAGGCCAAGTTCGCTCCACGATCGCAGGCAAATCAATGTGTTGCGGTCTTGCCTTTTCGCTTCTGATGGCCTCCCGAGGACTCCCGAACGCTCCACGTTCGAGCCAAAAGGTCGCCAAAGGGAGACTTTGGAAGCTATTTAGGGGCGCCGCTAATTAAGGCTCACCCCTCGTTGATCGATATCCTCCAAGATGGTCCTAAGAGAGCCTTCGAGGCCCAAAAGAGATCAGCAAGATGGCTCCAAGATTGCCCCAAGAGGGCTGCAAGAGGCCTCCCAGAAGCTCCCAATAGGCCGCCAAGAAGCTCCCAAACGCTCCCCCAGGAGTCCCCACCAAGCCCCCCAACGCAACCCAAGAGTCCTTACGAACCTCCCGGGACCGCCAAAAAACCTCTCAACCGCCCCAACTCACTTCGAAGAAGAACTCTTAAGAGCACCAACAGCGCCGTGAGATGAACACTTGGCCTCAAAGGCATCGAAGAGCCCTCAGAACCCACTAGTGCTCGTCTTCCCTGTTCTACCCCTCCTCAGCTGCCTACCTTAACATGGGTCCTCATTCTCAGAGCGAGAACGGCTGCTAGTCTTTGCGTCAAAGCTTCCATGGCCCATGATCACCTCAACTCGCATGGGCATCGTTTCTGGACGAACAATCCCTTGGCGTTACCATTCGCACACTTGTTCGTATATACTGTTCCTACTGAATGGTTTTCCGATGGCCTCCAGAGGGGGTCAGATACTTGTTATCCGCTCTTTCCGTCGCGCACCTCATCACCGCACCGACAATTATCTCATACTGTACTGCTCAAACGCCGAGAGACATCCCAAACGCCTCTGGTCCTTCTGCTCTCCCTCCTCCTCCTCCTGCTCCTCCTTCTTCCCCCTCCTTCTCCTCGTCATCAACAAATTCGTCATCCTTGCCCATCCTTCCCCCTCCTCCCTCCTCCCTCCTCCTCCTCCTCCTTCTCCTCCTCCTCATCCTCTGCCTCCTCCTCCTCTTCCTCCTCCTCCTTCTCATTCTCATCCTCCCTCCTACACTTCCGTGATCGTCTCAACTCGCCTGGGCGTCGGTTCTGGATTGGCTGGTGGGAATACGCGAAAATGGCAACATTCAAAGACATCTAAGTTGATGTGTGTAGTTATGCGTCTGTGTTTCTCGATTTACTCAAAGAGACCTGGCCTAGGCGGTGGCAAACGCGGGGCCCAAGGCCAGAACCCGAATGCCCATCCCTCTGAGACTCCTCCTCTCGCTCTTGGGGGGCCCAGAGGCCTGAACGTCTTGGACAAGCAGGACGGATGTTCTTCGACCCTTGTCCTGACCCTGTGGGCCCTCACCGGGCCCGAGGGCCGTTATGAGGCGACTCGGGGTGAAAAGCCAGTCCTGGGGAAACGGTCGGGGATTCCAGGGGCCCCGTCTCGAGTCCCGATCCTCCAACTTGGAACACATCCTCTTCTCATTACGAGGGTGGAACACCCACTCTGAAAACCCAGTCCGACATGGATAGCCTTGTAATCAGTGAACGCACTCACTGGAAGAAATCGGACAGGGAATGAATGCTTGGCAAAAGCAAAAGGAAGTTCTGGGTCTCGGGGTCGTTTTTCCTTCTTCCACTGATGCCCAGATCGTGCTCGCACCGCCAGGACCTCCCCCTGAGTGATGAGACGAGGAGACGCCGACTCCGATGCCGCTACTCCTCGGGCCTCGCCCAGGGTTCCGACCAACATTTCGGGGCGAATCCAGCCCAGGGCTGAACCTAAACGGCATTTTTCGTTTTCGTTTTGTTTTCGTTTTACCTCGTTCTCTCTTCAACCCGCCTTTAACGCAAAACGAAATCGAAACGAAAACAGCCCACGAAATAGCCAAAACACCGTTTAGGTCCACCCCTGGCTCAACCGTAAGATCTGGCCCGGAGCTCAACGTGAGGGAAGAGGAGCTGCATGTTTCCTTTTCTAAGGAAGGAACACATGGCAGAAACATAAGAACCGGTGTTCCGCGAGGACCTCCGAGAAAGTTCGATGATGCGGGTTTTTGCTTCTCGAAGAACGGCATGTTCCCCTTCTCTCCGACTGGATCTCGTTCAATATTTTTCGACGAAGACCAAGGATATCCGCTGGTGGGGGGAAATGATGGCTGATACCCTGAACGTTTCGCTTTGCGAATCCCCGCGTTTGCACGCGCGCGCCAACACTGTGTACCCCCTTAGGACCTGCGCAACCGATGCTGTCAGGCCATCCAGGGGGGAAATGGGGGGGCCAGGCGGGTCCGATAACCAGGTTAATCGCTGGACTCTGAAAATCAACCTTTGGCGGCGTGCACAGGGGGGTCGGGGGCAAGGCTTCTTAGGAGGATGCTGCTTCTTAGAAGGCGCCGGCCCTACCTCTACAGATAAGGCCACCGCCTGCTAAGAAACAAAAGTATGTCCAAAAAACCTCCCGCCCCCCCCTATTACCCCACACTGCGCGTGGCCGGAGTCCCCTACTGCACGGAAGCCGTCCGACCGAGGGCGGCCAGGCCCGCCCCGAAGAGTCCTTCGGCTGCTGCAGCGGTTCCAGCGACGCTCGGCTCTGCGCGGCGCCCCAGCGGACGCCCGGCAAGCCTGTCGATAGGGGGGGGGGCCCGGGGAAAGAGGCCCCAGCAGGTCTGCGATGGATGACGAGCGCTCGGCTGGATGGCCAGGTCGAATCTGCCGCAACCCCCCGCGGCAGTTGGAGGGCACTGCGCCTCCAAATACCTGGCCTTCAAAAACTCTCCTCTCACGAACCAGGCGCGGAGGGATTGTGGAAATCGTGGGCACGATTGCGAGCGCTTGGTACCATTGGGAAGTCCCCCCTCCTGGGCGATGGTCCGAAATGGAGGAGGAAGGAAGGAAAAGGGTAAAAAAAAGTCAAGGTAGATGCGCTCGCGCAACATCTGAATTGTTGCCCTTTTACTCGCAGCGCTTCCCATTGCGCCGATCGCTTCTCCATCTCCGCCGACGCGTCGTGCCATAGCGGGCCAGGAACTCCAAGGAACCGCCCCGTCGTGCCATGCGCATTCGGAAAAAAAGAAGCTGAGCACATGCGAGGAGGATGGGGGGGAGGAGGAGGAGGTGGCGGATGAACAGCGGGATGAACAGGGGGACGAGGAGCAGGAAATATGGGCGGAGGAGCAGGAGGATGGGGACGAACAGCAGGGGGATGCGGAGAGGGAGAAGGAGGAGGGCGAGGAGGAGGAGGGGGGGGAGGGGGTGGAGGCAGTGGGGGGGCAGGAAAAGCAGGAGGAGGACGGACCCATATAGGAAGAGCGTGCGGAATTCAAGGCCGGGATGGATGGCCGGGATGAAACAGCGAAGACGCGCTGCCCAGGAACGGGGGGGAGCAGGAGCAGGAGCAGGAGGAGCAGGAAGAGGAGGGGAAGGAGGGGGAAAGGATGAGGAGGAGGACGAGGAAGAGGAGGAGGAGGAGGAGGAGGAGGAGGAGGAGGAGGAAAAGCAGGAGTGTCATGAGTGTCGTGATCGCCACAGTCTACGTGGCAGGCGGGACTAGCGAGAGCCAGGGATTAACCGACGCCCCTCGACGCGTCGGACCCGACTGACCGCGGCCTCCAAGACGGGGGCCGAGGGACCCTTGTGGCCTGGGAAAAGCCCTCGACGAATTCTGAGAAGATTCTCGTCCCCTTTCTTAAAGCACTGGGAACACTCGCTGCGTAGTTGCCTCGGATCGACAGTAGCCGAACGGCCACACCGAGCACAACAATACAGCGAGTGTTCGGGCCAGAAATGCAAACAGTGACTGGGATGCAAAGACTCCCCCCCGCCGTCACAGCCCGCCTCACCCGAGAGATTCCATCGCCAAGCTCCTGCGACGTCTCGCCATAATCCACAGCGGGGCAGGGCTGACCGCAAGCCTCGAAGACATTCGCCGAGGGAAAGATGGTCGAGCAAACTGAGCAAATCCACTTCGCGCCAGTCTTAATTAAACAGTGCGAACTACCCCTGAGGGCAGCCTGAAGTTTGGTGACAGTGGAACGGCCCATCTTGGGCCTGTCCGCGGTCCATGGGGCCACACGAACGGATTCCGCCAACGCTTGGGCGGCCCGTTGGCGGACCAAAAAACATGTGGCATCCCATCGGTCAGTGTCAGGAATACGCTGACCGCGAGTGGGGGAGGAGAAGCAGGAGCAAGGGGAAGAGGAGGAGGAGGAGCAGGAGGAGAGGGATGAGGAGGATGAGGAGGAGGAGGAGGAGGAGGAGGAGGAGGAGGAGGAGGAGAGGAGGAGGAGGGGGTAGGAGGAGAGGAGAGAAAAGGAGGAGGAGTGGAGGAGGAGGAAGAGGGAGCCGGGGAGGACGAGGGGAGAGGAAGACGATAACGAGCAGCAACAGCGGCGGCAGCAGCAGCATCAGGAGCTGGAGCGGAGGGGGCGGCAGGAGCAGGAGGGCCGCGAAAAGGCAGCGGAAGGGAGGGGAAAAGACGGGGGCGACAAAGATGCGAAGGATTCTGGTCCAGGGAGGAGGAGGAGGAGGAGGAGGAGGAGGAGGAG